CATAAATCGGGTTTTCGCAATATCCTTGTGTGGGATATAGTTTACATTGAAATAATGATCGCTGATTTACGGACGAATTATGTTGATCAAATAGTTTGTGGAATAGAATGAAATTCACATAAAGACACATAAACCGTGTGCCGTCGCCAATGACGATGGAAATAAAATACATCTTTATATATATATATATATATTTATTATATTATACATTATAAATTATTATGGTGGTAAGTTGACTGATGGTAATAATAATTTGCGGATTAATAGATTTGGCTCCATTTAATTCATTTTGAAAATGTCAAGTGAATGAAAATATTTTTATAATAAAAAACATTGTTCGCCATGCAGTCTTGGATTCGAAGTTGTGAAACTCTAAGATTTTCATAGATAATAAAGTATAGATGGGCCATTCCTGTATCAACAAAATAAAGGGTCGCGTTCCGGAATGTGGACGAGAGAAATACGGCCTTTATATTATACAGCCCTCCAGAAAGGGGATTTATCATTAATGATCGTGTAGGAACTGCAGCAGAAAAGAAGGAGAAATACTGCTTATGGCGCTCTCTTACACTGGAATTTTATTATATCAATATAGTGATTTTACAAAATATATTTTTATTAGGCCCACAGGGAAGATATTTTTGCACAGGTAATATAATTATTATGAATTCCTGAATTTTTTTTTGCCAGATAACTATTAATATTAAATATACCTATACTAACGTCGAGTTGTATGGAAAATTAATAATGAATGGTTCACTTATGTTTAATGGACCAATAATAGGCCACTAAACCATGTTCAATGAACCATTAGCTCACTATTGATTCATTAAATCGAAAAGTGATTGTATAATATGCAACATGGTATAAACATAACATTGTGAATATCGAACCACTGAAAATAATAATTGCTCTACAGTTTTGTTGTTTTACGTTATTATTGTAGTTAAATACACTTTTGGCTTATGGCAAATAATTACCAACGTTCAACTTTAATACTATTATTTTCATATAAAAGTTAATTTTGGTATTTTTTTTCATTAAAACATTTATTGCATTAATTAAAGAACAAATAACACCAATCATATTTCCTGCAAAGTATCAACATGAAAACTCAGTATTGCTGTATATATATATATATATATATATATATATATATATATGTATTATGTAAGTTTACTTCAAAAAAGTAAATCGATTTTTGTTTTATCATTATTTATTATTATTGTAGATACATTTTATTGCGAAAGTATACATTTAAAATACCTTCTTATTATTATTTTTATTATTATTATAGTCCGCTATACATATGCGTATAACGTAATATGGTTATATATATTCTTAAAATATTATTCAAACTATGATTGTAGTCGGAATGTCAAATTACAAGTGACGAAAATATATTATATACTTTTGTAGATTCTGTAGATAAATTTTTATACTTTTCATGTACATTCGGGTAATAAATTGGATTTTGAAACGCATACGCGACTAAACCAAATTTATGGACATACGTAAAATTCTTATTAAACGAGCACACTTTGTGGGAGTAAAGTCTTTCAACTTTCGGGAAAAAAATTGTGCATAATATATAATATAATATTACTGCAGTCAAACATATATAATATTTCGCCAATAATTGGATACATTTTCTTATGTGCCAATTATAGGGAACATATTTCAAAAAAAATATAAATGGAAATAATTTCCAAGTACTGTGTTATGTATAATATGATAGAACACTTTTCTAAATAAATTATTTATTAAGACAAATCAGTTAATTATTATAGAACTAGAGTTATAATATGTCACCTATACATGGTCAAGTGATACAATATGGTACAGTTTTGACATTTAAATTGGGCCAGTATTTATTTTTATTTAAATTACAAATATAAACAATTATACACAATACACAATTTGCATGTAAACTTGGTTAAAGTTGTTATTATATTATAAAATAATTATTTAACATTATTCAGAGGATACCACGGTCCACGATGATCGAACGATTTCAGTGGCTCAACAAGCATTTTTCAAATTTTCATTTCACATACGTTATCTCCATAGTTGTATCAGATTTATTTTTGATATGACAATGCGAAAGTGAAACTATCACAAAGTCATTGTTAGTTGATGATTTATCCATATTACATCATACTTCTAGATTAAATAAATATTCTTAATCGGTTTTTTTGTACGACTTAAGATGAGGGCCCAGACTCCCAGGACTCTCCATCCGTGTCCCATCATTGGTCAATTGTTACGTTACTCTCCAAAAATTTTTAGTTTTATTAATGTCATTAAATAATACACCTTATTATTTGTTTCATTTCTGCGTGGTAGCGGATTGTGAGGTATTCACATAAAACATAAAATGTATTATAATATTATATTAACTTTCGAGGGTTGTTTTTTATTCGCCATCAATAACCTTATTAATAGTCTTTTTTTTATTAACATTTTAACCGTTATATCGACAGCAAAAATCTGCTTCAGACAAATCTATTGCAGCGTTATAGTATAATAAATATCGTTCTTTTCTTATTCTTTTTTATTATCACTCGTTATTGTTTGTCTGCAGCCCGACCAGAGATAATATACATTTGAGACGATATTAATATGGAAGTGAGCTCATAAATTTGCTTAAAACCCGAGCTTAACGTCAAAGGATCCGCTCAAAAAGCAAACCTACGAAATCTCTGTGAAATACGATTTGTCGTTGTTTATATAGTCACAAAGACCTACATACTTTATATTACTCGAGCAGCTGGTTGATTATTTCAAGACGAAGTGCGGTTCATAAATCACAAGATTCGTTCTCTTTTCCCGTGTAGGCATATGTCGAAGCGATAAATTATTATTATTGTTGTAGTTGTTGTCGCAACGAGGTAATATTATAAAGCAACATGGTTTTAGCCATTATTGAAAAACGCGAACACGCTCGGTAAATATTATCATATTAAATCTGCCATGCATGTATCTAAATATTAAATATTATGTATAATATTATTTACTTAAATAATTATTATTTAATGAATTCCGAAACTTTACGAAAGTAATTTGAATTACAATAATTACTCATGTCCGTCCGTCAATGTAATCTGCAATTATAAGCTCTGCTGTAGTGCTGTTACGTTCGTATTATTTACAATTGTTTTTTTTTTTTTAAGTTTGATAAAGGGATTTATTTGGTTTAGGAAACTTTGCTCATAACGGTTTTAAAGATAGGTACAGTAGATTATAATATTAATAAATTCCATTGATAATGTCAAAATTGTGTTCAGTCCGACGGTCACAATAAAATAATTTGGTTCACAGAATTTGAACATCTACATAAACGCTTTAGTTTTTTTTTTTACCAAAACATATATAGCCAAACATTTTTATAAGCTTACGATCATGCTCTAGTGATTATTTTAGACAGAATATGAAGCAGAAGATGTTGAGTTGAAAACGAAACGAACTTGTATCCATTTTTACAGCCATCGAGCAGGAGTTGAAACAAAATATTGAAAACGATTTGATTTTGATTTCTGTACGGTGGCGCCGTACAAACGCGTAGGTTATATTTGTGTATGGCGACGATCGTCGTAAAGAAATTAAAGGACTACACGAGCGTAAATTCCTACACGATCGAACGACCTTTTTATTGGCGAATTGGTTGTCCGTGTTTGTATACTTTATTACGTGTGCATAGAGTATAAAGTGAGAGATTGAGAGCGAAAAAAACTTTCAATTGTAGACAAATTAAAACTGTTTTCGCTCGTACAGCCGTACACAGTAAAAAGTTTTACACTTTATTATATAGGTACATACATTTTAATTTATTATACGGTTAGGTTAAGTTAGGTTTTATGTTAATCTTTTAATGCAAGTAACTATTCGTTCGAATTTTGATTCCGATATGTCACGATTTTCAGAAAAATTATCCTCTAAACAATTGTCAGTAGAAAAGGGTGTTGTTAGTCGATAAATAGAAGGATTTTTTCTTACAGGCCACTCCTTGAGTAGTAGTTACTAGAAATCTCAATAATTTGAAAATATGGTCTTTAAGTATATTTAAAATCTCCAAAAATTGAATTTTGAATAACTTCATCATTGTAGGAAAAAGGGGTGAGCATGATTGGTGTACACCCTGTATACATTTAATAATATATTAATGCCTATTATATTAACATATCCGCGTCTAAACTACGTGTTGAACTGTCGTATACATGCTTATAAGAACACATAAACATTGTCCTTCAGAAATGTAGGTTCATAAAGTTCAAGTTTTTAGGAAATGTTTTAAAAATGTAGGTGTTTGCGAAGAAACTATACTTTATACATTTGGTTTTTTTCAAATCAATTACGATTATGTCTTCTAGAAATAATTGAAATGTCAAATTAAATACATTTTAATGCGGATGATAAATTATTTTGTTGAGTTATTTCATTTTGTTATTTCATTTCAATGGTTGAATACATTTATTGTGAATATAGATTTAAGCTTTGTGAAATTTGAATATATCGGAAAGCTTAAAGGTATTACATTTTAAATGATTTAAAAAATGTAAATAATAATTTAAAATATAATGGCCCTTTATAATTAGATATAAATATTCAATTTATTAATCTGATTTAATTCCAATACATATTTTATAATATCTATATTTTGCTAGGCTTATAATATTACGAAATTCAATTTTAACATCAGCTTTCCAAGTATTGTTATTGCGTTCAAAATAATACGAAACTTAAATTTGCAGAAAAACAAATAAAAATAAAAAATACTGTTCTGAAAAAATATAGAACGATTTTTCGATTAACCCATTATACACTATTGTTCCGTTTCACTTAACATTATTAGGACAAAACACAATACATTTAATGAAACCCTCGAGGCATCACTATATTTTTTGTCTTTTAGTTGTAGACTTGGGACATAATCGTCGTGTGCTTGCTAACTATTTACTCTAATAATAATAATAATAACTCGTCGTTTTTATTTGTTACAGTATACGTTATTTTGGGAAATTACTATGATCATACCGGTCTGATCGTGGCCATGGACGAAATGGATTTGTTCAAAAACGGTAAGAGAATTTTCATTTGGTACCTAAGTAAATAATAATAATTATTCTAGCTGCTGTCTTATCGTTGTTACGAGTGTCCGACACGCTTGATTGTTTTTGCGGTCGATTTCAAAGCGCATTTTATGTTACTATATATTAGTTTTTAATTTCCCATATAATATAAATACGTGGGTTTTCCACCCCAATCACTTTCCGACTGGGACCGATCGAATATGTTTCATAACAACTTTCGATATATGATTGCTGCCTAATAATCTGACCGACGACGGGAAACTTGGTGTGTTTCCTATATCTGAGCTTTTGATAGTACTCATTGGTCCGTAAACGCCGGAAAGTCACGCAAAATACAAATACGTCAAAATTGCTTGCTCACTGGCATCGACTGTCTCCCCTTTGGGATATAGTGAGTAGTGAGGACAGACTGATTCTCGGGTTACGTCTAAAATATCACCGTATATAGAAAGGAACCGTCTAAGCTATTGATTTCTGAACAACCTTTTTTGATTGTCGGGTTACATTAAGACGTATGCTCTATCTTAATTCAACTGACCTCTCTCTTTTATAGTAGTTTGCTTCTATTTTACGAAATCGATTGTTTAATTGTTACCGGATATCTTACTTATTTTTCTCCCCCTTTAGTCCACAAAAAAGGTCCAAATAACATAAGTTTTTTTCAATAGTCATACTTGTTGTATACAAAAAGCGTATTTATCTCAGTAGTATTACGACTGTAAAGTGAATTGAGGAATTCAATTGTTTACAATAGTATAGTAGTACCTACTAAGTACAATAGTACCTATTTTGTTTTTGTTTAAGAAGCAATTTAATCAGGGTTTCACGTCTACCTATACCTAATTATTTTCATTACGATTGCTCAGCGCTTATTTTCCTTATTTAACTTGTTTTACTTAAGAAAAATCGAATTAAATCAGCTTTTATTATTCTTGGTGGTTTGAAACTATTAACTCACGTACCTACGGAATCACTTCAAAATAATTAATCCCATAAACTTGTTTTTCATTGTTAAATATTTTTAAAAACGATTTAAAAATTTTGCAACAAGACTTAATTGCGCTTAGTGGAATATTACATTTTAATATTTTTGTTTCCAATAATAAAATATTTAACATAATATTATACATACCTATTTAAAAATATCAATATTGTAAACCATTGTTTTATTTTCAAATTCAATTTTTTTTTTCAATTTTATTGATTAACGTACGGCCTAAATAAATCCCAAAAATATAAATAGTTTTCTTGTTTCCGAATATTAAACATTTCTATTGATAGTACAATGTATAAACATCAATTGAATGTAAATACTTACTTACTAAAAAAATAAATAAAATAATATTATTCATTGAAGCCAAACACATATACTTTACTCACCCATCCTTGTTTCCAATCGGTTATTTATATTCACGTGATTATTGACATTTGTATGAGCTAATATATAATATATAATACGTATTTACGCAAACACATTTATGTGTTCGTATTTCTCAATGCTATAATGTATGAATATCGTATTATACTTATACGATCGAGTATACAAAACACTTTCTCGATAAAATGTTATTTTTAATGATTTATTTATCATACTATAAAATAATTGACTGTGAATGAGCTAAATTATGTAGGCAATAATGTCAATTGCATATTCTTAAGGAGGAAAAAAAATCTGGACGTACCTCCATCTGTATGACATGAACATAACAATAACATACAGTTAATGCATTTTATGATTATTATTGTGAAATAAAATAGGTACCCATGTAGCATTACAACTTTACACGAATTAAATTTACAATATGTTTCGATCTAACCTCTACCTCCAGAGTACTGTCCATAAAATGTATCATTGTTTTGCACAGTATACTTCAATTTTATTATAACACATGTTTTTATATAAAACCAGGTGAATATTTCGTTGTGGGTGTGGACGTGGAGCAGTATGACGCAGTAAACCCTGGGAAATATTTAACCGGAATGTTGTCTGACAAACCTGATCCTACTTTGGAAAAAGCTTTTCGGTCGTTTTTTAGTGTGGTGCCCACTCCACCTAGAGGATTCAATAATTTCTCAGTCAAAGTCAACGAGTACATGGAAAAACCACCATTTCAGTTCCCCAATCCCTTGGTGCAGTTGGGTGGCGTCAAACAGGTATGCAAATTATTATATTTGAAATAAAATTATTTTTTTCTTTTATATAATTTTATTATACAATTATTATTAGGTAAATATTTTAATACAGATTATAGGCTTAAACATTTAAAATTTAATATAATAAAATAAAATATTTAAGTACTAAGGTTCGTACATTTTGTAACTATTTTCTATAAGTGTGCGTAATTATATTAGCGATTTTTTTAAAGTTCTTTCTTTTAAAAAAAAAATAAAAATAAAAATTCTAGTATTTTTTTAAGAAATATTTATAACTCTCAATGATTTGTTTGATGCATTCTTTATCGGTTAATTGTTTCCATTGAACTGGATTGTTGTGAGATTAGAAATCTTCCTTCATTAAAATATGTTATGATTATATTTAATCAATCTTCGACATGCTAATAAGTAATAGAAAAATGCTGTATTATTATATTATACGCTTATGAAAAAAATAATAATTTCCCACATTTTATTCGTTTAACTATATTTATAGCTTAGGATTAAGAGTCTTTCTTTAAGAAGAAAATTTTAATTAATATTTTTTCTGATTCTTCGTAGAAGTTATCAACAAATTTTTGATTGCTGTCAATTTACATTTGAATTACGGCTAAATACTAAATTATATTTTTACAAAAATTTGTCAAACAACTATTCTAGAAATATGCTTCTAATTTATTATTGAACAAAATATTATGACATAATATAATATTGTGATATAATTAAAAAATATATTAAATTTAAATTGAAAACTTTAACATGATTTACTATGGTTAAAAATTAAAAATCTAAAAACGAACTAAAAATATATTTAATGAGGGATAATAAAATTCAAACCATTTAAAGTTCCGAAATATTAGAGATGGAAGTATAAAAGAAAAAACACTGTGGGTTTGATATAGAAATATAATTATTTTCTCAAAAATATCAGGGTAATTGGAAAAATGATCATTTTAAGTTTAACACATATAGTGTCACTTCACAAAAATTTTTACTATCACCAAAAATGTTTCACTGAAAAATGGATAACATGTAAAAAGAAAATGCATCACTTTATGCCTTTATGGCCAAAATAGGATTACTCAGAATCAAAATAGTTTATAGGTTATAAATTGATAACAATAGCGTGATAAATAAAACATAAAATATTTTTCTCGATTATAGAGTATACAATAGGATGTTTACTTCACCTCAAAATGTTAAATGGTACATGATTTATATTGAGAATAAAATAAATCGCCTCTTAAAAATATCTGTTTAATTTTACTTGTTAGTGGGTATAAATTAGATTTTGGTTGTATTTACTTCTTTGTTTTCATGTCGTATACCTACAATACCTTAAAGAATTCACTGTTTTTATTTTGTTTGTTAAATATCAAGTTTATTGAGGTCACTGTTTAGGTAGGTCATGACCATAGAAAACGGCAGACACTATAAAATACGTTATTATTAGTTTAAACAATATATCTCGTTACAATATGTACCTACCTGGTTATTAAAAAAACGTTTCACTTTTTATAATTTTCTCGTGTTAAGATTTTTGGAATAATTATTATATATTTTTTTTTTTTTTTTTATTGATCTTGAGCTCGGAAACTAAGGCCATTAGCTGTTTTTGTTTTTGTTTGTAGGTTTTCTTTGGTAGGGGGAGGAACACTTGTGTGTTTGTTTTGGCAGAATTTTTGATTTGGGCACCCATAGGTATCTGCCATGCCCGGGTGGGGGATGGCGGCACTTATTCTCCGGACACCGTGACTTGCCCGAAGAAAAATGCCGCCCAATAATATATTTTATAACTAAGAAGTATTCATTTATTTTGAAGTCAGATAAAAGTCATTTTACTGAATTATTTATATTTTCTTAAATAATAGACATCATCGGAATGTGGTTATATTTTCAATGAATTATTTATTCTTCAAACTCTTTACATATATATAGCAGTACCTTGAGTAAATAAGCTTAGTTGCATGGATAAAATAGCAATAACACCCCCCTCCCTCCTCACGTGACAATTTTATTTTCCCAATTTAATACGAATTTCTGATCAGTCCACATAAAATATATGGCTTTATACTCGTAATATATGCACGTTTTGAATTCATTATAATATTATACAATTGAATATATACTGTGTACGTGTTTCCTATAAGATCCAAAATAATGTTATGTATTTATTGTTTATGAAAGTTTCAAATTTGTGTATACCTACAACGTATCTACCAATATAATATTATGCATTTTTGGCAATAAGCTATTATTAGCTGACAGCCATAAACAAAATATGTTATTGTGCAAGATGATCCATTTATAAAAGTCTACACTCATTATTTCGAAAAAATTTAAACTTTTTGAAAATATTTTTTTTACGTTTTGACGAGTAGAGTATAGCAGGGCACATTTGTACCCCGAAAAATGTTGGACCACTACTCATCACTCATCTAAACATTAAAAAAATACTGATAACTGATTAATTTGTTTTCGAAATGACGAGTGTAGGCGCTTAAATAGATCACTTTGAATATATTATGTATAATACATAATATACCTTACAGGACCGATACATATATTTATAATAGTTACGGTATCGATTTATAATGAATAATAGGGTCGTCTCTAGTCGGTAAGGACTATTATTATTATCAAACGTCCTAAAAATATCATCGGCTATTCGGTTTAATATAATACACAACGCGTTTATATAGTGACATTTGTCTTCTGGTCGAAGGCTCGGTTATTGGTTTCGACGTTTCGTCCAAACATTTCAGTGGTGATGTTTCACTGTATGCGACGTGAGCGGAATAGGTATCGACCTACAAAGTTTTTTTGGTCTTAAAAAATATACTTATACATAGTTCTTTTTACAGTAAACACTCGTCGTTTCGAAAACTATTACATTTTATGAAGAATTTAAGATAAATGCAATTCTAACGTTTTTTACTGCCCTTATTTTTTCACCTATATATATGTTTGTTGGCGAACCGACCATCGATTTTTGATTTTTAAATGGCAACCTAGCTATTTGTTTATTTTTATAGACTAAAGCAGATTATACTTTTCTAAAAAATGTTAATCTTTAAATAACGAGCATTGAAGCGTTTTTTTTTTATTAATAAGCTTTTAACTACTAAATGCTTACAAATAAAAAACTATTGCATCAATATCTGTTATGCAAAAACGTAAATACGTTTTGATTAGTTATAAAAAGCTTATAAAAATACCCTGCTTAGTGCCTAGGATACTAAAACTTGAAATATAGATCATCACTAGAAAATCAAAAGCTGTCAGTGGTTTCATCGATAAGATGTATATATATATATTATTAATATATTATTATTATAAAAATAATGATAGTACATTTTTCCAACATCTTATCGATGAAACCACTGACAGCTTTTGATTTTCTAGATTTTCTATATATATATATATATATATATATTGACACATTTCTGACTTATCGTGGAATCGAAAGAGATGCGATAGGACGTGACTGTATTGGTACTACCTACTATATATATTATATTATATATATGATGGAGCTTGGGCGTCTTTGGGAATAGTTCAAGCAACCTATGTCAAATTGTCAGGATGTTTACAGGGTTAAACGTTTTAGAAAACCAATTGTAGACTGTCGAAACACTCAACAGTAAATAAAATAAGATATTATTATTACGTCGTGTCGCAGAATTAAATAATATAATATAATGTCGTTGGCGTGTGTACCGAAAGCTGTGCGGGTACAATAATCGTATAATAATTATGTTGTTTTATAGCGAGTTTTCACACATACACACCGCAACAATGTGCTTATACGTGTACAATGTACATATGTATTACTTGAGCATATAATATAATATATATATATATTATATACTACTTCCGGTCGGACGTTACCGGACGAATATGAATTGCGGTGTGCGAGCACGATTTCCGCAAACCTTCCGGTTACACCGCGACCGCACGTCGTAATTTATGTATTATAACTTATAATATATAATATTATGATACAAATCATAATGGTGGGGGAGGGTTGACCAATCCGACGGTGATCGAACGGTTTTCGAATCAGGATATCCCGAAATACAATGATACAATACGATATAAAGACCACGGCTCTGCGATGGTGTTTAATTAACTAATAATAATAATGAAGCGAGACGAAAAACTGCAATAGTACAACATCGAGTATGCTTGTACATCGTTTCTCATACGAGGGCGCCCCACAGACATACATTATAATATTGTGTCAAACATTGGTCCTTGGCGTCTGTTTCGTGAGTCCCGCGGTGAATTTCACTCGTCATAATATTAATATATGATAATAATAACAACGTACATTGTGTCAGGTAGTGTCGGCAACAAATGTTAGTCTTCAATGCATAGAACACTGTACAACGACAGCGTTCGAACTCATGGGCCACAATAAATTTGTGTCACTACGTTTTATTATCGCGCGGGCTCCGTCGTGAAAAAATTAAAAAAAAGTCTGAGGCACTCGGGGACTGCAGCGTTAAAGCTATTGCTTAGCAATTTGTAGCTATGTATCATGTAATTATAACTATTTATCTTTGTATGATATTAATTTTATTCAAGTTACACTTTTTGAGCGTGACGACCGAAAAAAAATGACAAAATGAGTTTTTTTTTGTTGATAATAGTAAATATGTAAAATTATTTTATGGATATCCATCAGAGAAATAGAGAAAAATAATTAAGATATATTTTTTATGGAATCATTTTTAAAGTTTGTTCGGGGTTGGTCATAACATTAATGATGATATTAAAATATTATAATATTCAAGTATTTTTGATAATTTATAGATTACAAACATGAGGCATCGAGATAGCATTAATATCGATAGGTAAATATATGGTTATAGTTTTATTAATTTATTTTATGTATTTACATTTATAACTATGCGTTATAATAATAAATAAGGTATTTGACGTCAGTCGATATACAAAGTTTATTATTGGATAAGATTATTTGGTATTTTAATTAT